GACAGTTTGTACAATATACCAAGTAAGTAAAGTAATAATATTTCAGTACATATTATTCCGTTTGTGTACTGCTAATTTCAAAATCAGACATAACGATAAATTTAAATAAGAGTTGATATATATTTTAACTAGTGGCAGGGGTGTGTACTAAAAGGTTGGTTGAAATAAAATCACTGACGTCTTGGCATAATTGTATTTAATTTTTATTTGATTTTAAGTAACAAAAAATTTCGTCCACTTTCATCTATAATCATAAACGGGAACGCTAGACAAAGCGAATTTCTATCATAAACGAACTTACAAAAATATGTAATTAATAATAATAAGTTTACACTTAACTAAAAAAATCAAATACAATATCACATTTCTACTTACAATAGAGAGATATTGGCGATGTTTCCCTTAAACCGATTATAAAAACGAAAAAAAATTATATAACTCTTGGTTTAATGTCATGTACTTCTATACATAAGGAGTGCTGCACTTACTTATAACAATTCGGAAGAAACATATTGCTGCAGTTAACAATAATAATTTGTACAAGAACTTAACATTAGCATTTGGCTAAATTTGTGACATCGACAGCGCAAGATTCCCAAGGAATAAGCCTGATCACAAAAAACCACAACCTAATCTAAAATAGCAAACCAATTAGACGATTTTCAAAAATACTCCCCAACCTTCACATTTCCTATCACATTTTCTTTACCTACTACTTGATTCACAATTCAAAAATCAACAATTTTCTCGTATACGTCAAATTAATCTAAACACCAACCTCGAATATTAGACAAAGTATCTCAATACCTTGTCTAATGGACAGAGTCGAATTATCAACTGAAAGATACCAACATTAAGTACGAAAACTAAACAATTTGAACAAATACAACCATGTCAAAACCAAAAGTTAATGACACTGAAGTAATATACAAATCAATGATCTTAATATATCGTCTAATATAATTGAGCATAAGCATTTTAGACTTAAAAGTGTCAAAATGTTAAGTCTCCTCAAAAAATTACCTCGTATTTACAAAATATATACAAATTGCGGTCACAAAGGTGAAAAATCAAATGTTTTGGCAACCTGTCAGATCACATATCATACAACGCAATTAGAAAATGTATTCAGCCTTCAGTAAATTCAACTATCTGTAAATTCATTTAAAGTACCTTCAAATTAAAGAGAATATAAAATAAATCCTTGTCAAGTAACCTTGACTAACATTAATTATGACGAAAATAATTCTGTATTAAATTTAATAAAATCTTTAATTTCTACGGATACATAACACTCTAAACTGAAGAAAGAATACATTTTATTAAATAAACTAAAGTGCGAAAGAAGAAAAATAAAGCTAAATAAGATTATGATCGATCATAGTAGGAACTGAGTGCAGAAGTGATGTCTAGAGATCTGTACGGCATGAGAGCCATAAAATGCAATAACGCCCCAGTTAGGTCTATAATATACTCGATACCATTACCTATTGTTACAGGAACTCTGAGATTTTGTTGATAACATTAAACGTTCTTAATAGAACCAGAATTGTGCATTAGATTTCTATTGTACACAATAAAATAAAATTTGTATAATAATAATCAGTACGAATCGTAATACTACAGGACAAAATGTGATTATAATTCACAGGACACCTAGAGACAAGAATATTATTATGCTCTTAAAGCAATTTTATTATGCATTTATATTAATTTGATTCTATTATAATATACTTTTGCATGTGGTATTTCTGATCTACCTTTGTTAAAGATTAGTTTTCCTTTAAGCATCAGTGCATTCTAAAGTGCTTCTTGATTTTTGCTTTTTGAAGTGAATTAGTTGATTTTGGTCACTGACATTTCATATTTAAAATCGACAAAAAACTTAATAAAGAAGCACCCTAGCCTTTTCCCCTTTTCTTCAAATTACTTACAACATAACTAAGTACAACCATAGACTCTGTATAGATCTGTGCTTTGACGAGAACTAATCATTAAACATCAACAAAACTAATTCAAATGACGAAATCGAATCCCATAACTGTGTTATCTACACAAATTCCAGAGTATTTATACAATATCGATATAAGTTTAAAACTGAATTCCGCCTCACTAACAACACATTTCCGTATTTTATACATAATACCACTGTCATGGAGAGCGTGATTCTAAATACTTTTAATAAGATTTTGTTTACCTCTAATAATACCGTCATAAGTATTAAATAGTACCTACTAGGAAATCGGCAAGATCTACTGTTTATCTTTGTGAGAGAGGGCGTGAGGAAGAATGTGTTCCGCTGGCAAGAGAGAAGGTTGATGTGCGTAATTTCTGATCTGGTGTAGAGATATCAATTGGTTAGGGAATGAATTGGGCTGTTGTTTGCCCTGCTGGAAATGGAGGGGGTCGTATAAGTAAGGTCGTGTCTGCAAAGCGCTATGATGAGACAATCCATTCAAATGCGGGGCCATAGAGTTAATCGGGGTAAACGCGGAATTAGCTGCAGAGACAGGAGGTTGAATACGATCGTCTTGGCTCTCGTGTTGAGCGAACAAGGCCCTCTGCTGCTGCAGCTGATGCTCATGGTGCTCCTCGGCTTCTCTTTGTTGATGATAACCACCTTCATCAGACATGTGCGCCGCTGAATCCGGGCTTACTTTCGGCCAGTATGGATGATCAGCGAATGGAGCCGCTGTCGGTGCAGCCGCTGCTAGGGATCTATTGAGCCCGCTCAGACCCAAAGCAGATATAGGTGGCCGCTTATCAGCCCTTTCGGCATGTTTGTTCATGTGCTTACTTAAGTAAGTTTCTTGCGTGTAACTCTTTCCGCAATACTGGCAAATATGTGTCTTGAGATGTTTAGACTCTTTGTGCTTAGGAATGTGCTCGAGGAGGTCCTTTTCATGGGTGAAGCACTTGTAACATGAGTTACATTTGAAAGGCTTATCTGTTTGGTGGCAACGGCTGTGGCTTTGTAAATTGGAGAGCTGAGAAAACGCTTTGGTGCATCCAATTTGAGTGCACCTGTAGGGCTTATCGCCAGTGTGGGTGCGAATATGTTGTTGTAGGTGAGAGAGCTGAGTAAATTTACGTTGACATATTTCGCATCTGTATGGTTTGATACCCAGATGGATACGCGAATGCTGCGCAAGATACGAGGAGTTAGCGAAAGCTTTAGGGCACTGGGTGCAGCGGTAAGGCTTTGCCTCTCGGAGATGTATCTGCGTGTGAAGCTGCAGGTCCGCCTTTGAGCCGAACACCTGAAATAAATGAAAAAAACAACGTTAGAGCTTTTAAAGTAAACAGATAAAAGACTACGTTAAAATAAATTTTGTTTACATGCAGAATAGAATTACATCAGTTGTGATACGAAAATATACAATTACATCATGCATGGCTACTAGTGTATAATATTGTCACGTTCAAAGATTTTAAAAATTCATCATTGGATTCATCAGAAAGTGAATTGTGCCCTTGAACGACATCCGCGGGGAACCGGAACCAATTGTACTTGTTTTGAGACTTTTTATTTATTCAATTAACTAACGCGGCAATAAATGCAGGATGCCACCTTCACGGAGTTTTTCACGCACCTTGATTAACGTTTTCAATGTTAATAATCATCTAAGCAATTTACGTTTTATCTTACGTAAGTCATATAACATTTGATAAGTTTTGAATCTATACATACAATATGTTATTAGAAATCAGTATCTCCTTGAATGTTATATATACCGCTGAACGTTTTCACTTTGTGTATGTTATAATATCGGAACTCTGCTGATTCAAAAGGTTGTTTAGGTATGCCATCGATACTTATTGTGATATTTTAAATTAGTTTCTAAGTTAAAAGTGGTGCGTCATCCTATCGATGCTCTGTTCGTTGGCCGACAATGAAACTGTGGACCACGTTCCTTAGAGCAAGTCGCTGCCAAAACAAGAACAATTTAAACGTATTAACTCTTTCTAAACACAAACTAAAAACCAAACCTTATTGAATTTACGAATAGAAGTTAAATTAGAATATCAAATCTAAGTGCACTTTGTTGATATTTGTTGAGCAGTCCGCAGTCTAAACGTTGCTTGATAGACTTATGACTGCTACAGACTTTGAGCTCTAATCTTCTATCGTTAAAGGACATTATTGAGATTTAGTTAGTTTCACTAATGCGTCTGTTTACTGGAGCTGTAGGATTCGGTAGCACGTTGAATGACTCGTCAAAATACGAGACACGATCGCGATTGGTCACACCCTGAACATAATTAAAGTTTGGAGCACTATTTAATGGCATGAGGCTTGAAATTCGAGGTGGTGGCTGACTTTTAATGGGACTTCGTGAAGGATTCATTCTAGAGGAATCTGTGTTAAATCGATCTACACTTCCGCTCGATTCAAAATTGTTTCGGTTAGAAATTGTCGATTCGATAGAACGTAATAAAGTTGTTGTGTGCAAAATTAAATAAGCAAAAAATAGCAGACAAGTTCGATAATGTTTAATAAGTTTTGGTGCACATTAAACACTTATTACGACAGGACAAAAACATTTAAGCGTCAAAATCATAAAACTAGAGGAGGTGTTAGAGTCGACACATGATTTGCTAATGATTTAAAGACAATCAATAATTCACCTTAAGTTATAAAAACGTTAAAAAACTCTACTCAAGTAACAATTACTCAAATATACCAATTTACTAAGCTTGCTAATAGCTAATAACATTTTCATTGAGTAAGAGTAGTTTGAGTGGTTGCAGGATTTTAGATGACTAAAGATTGTCTTTAGATCCAAATCACCAACCTCATGATCTGAGGAAGCCAACAAGCCCCACTCAGTGCGATTGGTAGCACTCCTCGGGATTCCATAACCAGTTTCTGACTCCGAAGAGTCGGAAATTGTCTTTTTCCGTCCACGTCTTTCGCCTTGTACCTGATTGATGAAGTAAATTTTGGAATATCTTGCCAATCGTTTGTGATATTGATGATGTATGGAGAAAGGCAACATGACACGAATGAAACGCAATATTCTAATAGAAATTGTTCGTCCTAAGCTGTTTTGAAACAATACATCCCATATGCAATAAACAAACGTCCTATACTAAGTCCATTTTTTGTTGACGTCCTTAGTCACCCCCAAGCAGTGCTTTAACCGTGACAAGAGTAATCTGAGGGCGGGCGGATAGAGGATCTCAGGGCGGGCGGAAAGATTGCGACCCTCGGTCAGGGCACGGATTAATGTTAATATTAAGCACTAGTCATTCATTATGACACTTTAAAGTGACAGGAAAAATGGACATCGGTTGGCCCTTTGAGAAATGAAGGGAAGATATGTCCTGAAGAGATTATAAAATTAAATAATATAATATGCAGATTACATACATTATTCTAGGTTATTTAAAATAATTGTTTTTGATTAATTTTAAACAACAACGAATTATTAATCATGTGGTAAAATTTGTATACGCTACACTAAACTAGAAGTCCAGTCCGGTAACATTTGCACAAGACACAGAGGGATTAAAAAGAATAGTTACTAAATAGATATTTTTAATCCGGTTTCGAGAGTTGCACGTTACATTTCACACCACAGATTACAAGTAAAGAAACAAAATTAGCAACACATTTCGTTAACAAATTGTCTAAGCTTTTTTTGCCAGATTTTGTTTGAGAATTATTAATAGTCAGACATACATTTTGTTTATCTCAGAGGGTCAGATTCCCTCTAATAAGGACTTTTTGCGGATTTCAACAAATTTCGCGGCTTCGTTTGTTTTACCTCTTACGCTTTCCCCAGCTTGAATAAAGCCTAGCCTAAAGTTTTATGTATTTTTGGCTGTTACTTTTTAATTATAATTTTAAAAATACTTTAGAGCAAGAAAATATACATAGAAAATATGTAAAATAACCTACAGCTACCATATCCAGATTTAGAAGAATACATACTAGAATAATTATTTTTTTAGTTTTTCTCTTTAACTAGGGTTGCCTGGAAGAGATCGCTTATTAGCGATAAGGCCGCCCGTTGCATCCCTTATAATTTTTATGTATTGTGTTATTTATGTTTCTTTTATTTTTATTGCAACGAAGTATAAATAAATAAATAAAAATAAATAATAATTGCAGATAACTGTATTTTAATAATATAATTGCAGAAACTAATCTAAGTATTCTGTTTTGATATTCCGCGGCCCTCTAGACATCAGGGAGCTAAAACAAAAAGAAAGAACATTTCTACGTCTATTATGAAAATTATTACGTTTCCCTAATAAAATAACAACATTTTCTAGGATTTATTACAACTTTATTAAGAGAATTGTACCTGTGTTGTTTTTAAATTTTATATTTGCAAAAATATTATTTGTTTCAAAACAAGTTGCATTAGAAATTGTAAACTTCTTTTTTACTAAAATAGTTTAAACTGGATTGATGTCATAATTTAAATTAAACATTTTTAATTATGATAACAACTACCCTACATATATTGTCTATGCTAATTTAGTAATTAAAAGATAACAAAACAGTAAGTTGCTATCCAGAACAAATAATTAACAGATACAACTTATTTACAACAATTTTCATTTTGAAAGTTAACAGTTAAAAAGTTAAATAACATTTAGATTAATATTTTTTATAGAACAGAGGGAAAAGGGGCAGAAGGTTCACCTGATATTAAGTAATACTGACGCCACCCATGGACACTGTCAATGTCAGGGGGCTCGCGAGTGCGTTACTGGCCTTTTAAGAATAAAAGAAAAAATTCTAACTAAGAAGTTTTTCAAATTTTTCACGTTAATAACTTTTAACTAACTAACTTTATTTATTGTATATTTGTCTGTGGCCTCTGTGCCTGATTTGTTGGAGTTTCAGTTGCTTCAGTTTTAGAAGATAGGGTTTTTGCACTAGTCTTTCACTAATTTATATTGTTTAAAGTACGCTTTTTATATAATAGCTTATTTTAATGCATATTAAATATCAAATAACTACCTCAATTATAAAGTTGTAATCAGGCGATAATAAATGCAGAAGACGAATAGAAAAATGTATTAAAACGATTAAGACAGGAAATAAAGTGAAAATTCAATGTTCTATTTGAATATTTTAATTGGAAAACGAGCATATCGTTTGTTATGTATTATTCTGTTTTAAGGATACCTAGCAAAACACTGCATTTAACAAATTACATAATAACCCATTTATGTTTCCATCAATATCACATTATTTCAGTGATGACTGATACACGTCAATATCTAGGTCTGTTACTAAATATTTATAAACTTATAAAATATTTTTTATAGAGAAGAGTTGGTCAGCCTTCAGTGACACATGTCGATTTTTACGACATGCCAGTACACAATAATACACAAATAGAAAAACGTAAGACCTAACGGTTGAGTATATCTCCTGAATTACACAACAGCTGGAAAGAAAAATCAACAACAGTCATCCGCCTACACCTACTTGGACAGCGTGGTTCATCATTTACATCCTAGGATAAGTCTAGTTGATTTAAACAAACAATAAATCTAATACCACATTAATTTTCAACGGATGTATTTTAAGTGCCGCTAACCTTAACCTACAACCTCTTCAACCTTGAAATTAATTTAAAAATAAATAGACATCTTCAAATTCATAACCAACAATTACATTTTAGTGCTATTGTGTTCAAGTAATTAACTTTGAAAATCCGGTTTTAAATATTCAAGTTAATTATATTTTCGATGATTTTTCGTTTTATTCAAGTACGTAGTGAGTTTTCCTGCCTTGTGAGATAATGTTTGAAACCTTTTCAAACTTCCACACCTACTAAAAGTTATTTACAGATTAAATACCTATTAGAAAAGGGGGCAAACGGGCAGGAGGCTCATCTGATGTTAAGTGATACAGCCGCCCATGGACACTCAATGCCAGAGAGCTCGCGAGTGCGTTGCCAGCCTTTTAAGAGTTGGTAAGCTCTTTTCTTGAAGGACCCTAAGTCGAATTTAATTAACGAATGCTAAACATAAAATAATTAATTTGTAATTAATTAATTTTTTACGTTATTGTAGACAGGGTTATTTATTTGCAAACAGCAACCTGTGTTATTTATTTACTGTAGAACAATTAGAGCACGGTTGGCCTAGTGACTTCAGGGTCCGACTCTCATCCCTGAAGTCGGCGGTTGGATCCCCGGCTGTGCACCAATGGACTTTCTATGTGCGCAATAACATTTGCTCGAACGGTGAAAGAAAACATCGTGAGGAAACCCGCTGGCCTTAGACTGAAAACGTCGACGGCGTGTCAGGCACAGGAGGCTGATCACATACTTGCCTATTAGATTAACAAATGATCATGAAACAGATACAGAAATCTGAGGTCCAGACCTAAAAAGGTTGTAGCGCCACTGATTTATTTATTAGCACAATCAAAAATTTGCGTAATTATGCGCTAACTCAAAAAAACATTTGATCCTTCTAATATGTTAAATTTTTATAATAGGCCCCTAATGGTTTTAGCCTTCATTAGATTTCTATAACCCTTATTATATCATAAATAAAAGTAAAGGCCTTAAATACGACAAAAACGCCAATGTCACCATCCATGCGTTAAATATTGTCGCAATTCAAAAAACCGAATAATCTAGGTAAATAGCGAGAAATCGGTCGATTACTTAATCGCAAAACTATCGATTCGATATACAATAATCGAGTTAGGGAAATAATTAAGAAATATGTGTCGTAGTCTGTGATGCACATTTATTTTGAACGTTCAGTTTCGTAACTCGGACATTTTACTTTAAACGATTGTCATTTGAGTAAAAATAGCCCCAGTGTGTAACGAGTGTTTAAATTGATATATAATACACGTCTATGCCAAAAAAATGGTTTTATAGGATAACAAGGTTTCAAGTTAAATAAAATGTTTAAGTTGTAGCAAGTAAAATTAGAAACGTTCATTGTTTAACAATCTTTGTGTTCATGTGTTTATTAACATACTTTATAGTGCCTACGCAGTTGCACTTTGTGATTTTGCGATACATGCTGTCATTTCTAGTACGGGATTTCGTGTTATATGCAGATGCAGAGAGAATAGACAACATAAGAAAGTCTTTAATAGTTCGAGTAGTCTATGTAACCACATGCCAAACTCGGAACTTGGAATGTTCTCAATTCAAATTTTTAAATCGAACGCCACGGGCGGGAAGCACGTGTCAAATAAAAAAACCTTATTATAAAGTAACCGTTTTCCGCCACTTTGCTATAGAGAAGAAATGACCAAGACCCACTTCAAATCCATGAAATCTACAAAGTAGGCATGGAATAATAATCTCTATTGCTCAGATATAAGATCTGTATTAGCCGCAAATAGTTCAATCAGTTTTTTCCGCTTTTGTCACCCAAGCGTCGGATAAAAAGTTTTGAAATCGTGCACCCGAATAAAAAACCCGTTTAATATTGGCATTGACGCCGTACTGCGGATTTAAGCGTGAAAATTAGTTTTAAAACGTTAATTTTACGTCGCGAACTGCAACACGTTTCATCTTTTGACTGAATTCGTGAAAGAATGTTTTAATCTATAACCAATACCTTCTGATGGCGGCTTCGATAAAAAGATACGAAAACAACGAATAAGAATTCTGTCCCTGCTTTGATGTCTGTAGATTTAACACTGTGTATTTACATATTCGAAGATACATAAAAAAAGGAAAACTACAAAACAAATGCTGTATCTGATATGTTGTCTTATGCCTTTACTTTGTATCTACATATCCGTAGAGATATTAATATTAAATTACAAATATGTATGTTTATGGTTAAAAAAAATTGTGTTTGTAATATATTATCTCTAAATTACTAACCATAAATATTAAGGGAAATTATTAACACAAAACAAAATTGGATCGATGGATCCCATCGTTAGTTTCGGTTCCAGGATCCATTAAGATTTCCGCCCGGTGTCCTGAGATGCGCGGGAGCACTGAACTCATCAAAAACGAGAGAGCTTTAGCGCCAATCATCGATCAAC